AACTTTTGAAAGGAAGTCTCAGCCACAGAATGCATATACCTGTAGAGTTTTGCATGGGTTTTATATGAATACAATTTTAAAAAATAGCTGCTTGCACATTATACCAGAAAAACCTCCAAAACTGCAATTGCTTTGAAAATAGATTTTAGGTTTTTTGGAGTTTTCTGAAATGCTTGGTCTGTATTTTGATAATTGTGCATATTATGTAAAAATGTTGGTGGACCCATAAATGACCAGACTTTTTCTAAGAAAAACATTGCTTTAATGCATTTCATGAATTTTTACTCTTATATCATTGCTTGCTAGTAATAGCAAATCTGCTTTTCTGCATCTGCTTTGCGTAGCTATTGTAAGGCTTTGAACTAATGTATGTATTTATTGCTTGAACTTCTGTGCATACCTTATAAAGCATAATGTCTGACAATTTAAATGGCTCATGTATTCTTGCTTCTATCATAAGCTGATTATGGGGACTATGATCTTTTGTATACAGCAAATTTTAAACTGTAGCACAAACATCTGTTTATGTATTGGTGGAATATACCTGTTTTATTTATCTTTTTTGAGGTAAACTAATTTTTGATACTTTTCATTACTGTGTACTATGTTCATACTTTGAATTCTCTGACGTTAGAAGTCATGGTTGAGAATTGTAACAGCTGTTATTCGTTCTGTATTCATGGCTTTCACTGCTGAATAAAATAAAGGACCAAACCTAGGATTTGAAAGAAAACTGTCTACCTCTAACACCAGGGAGTTATCAGATTTTATTTTACATAGTTTTAGTCTACAAAGACACAATTGCTTAAACCTAGTGGGCTTAAGGCTTATATTCTATGTGGTTGGACTCGTGGCACAGTTGTACTGTTTGAAAATCAATTAAAATTTTATGTGAATGTTACAAGTATTTGGTAGAATTACCACTAACTGGGTTTTCTTCAGATAACTCAGATTTGGAGAAAATGTCATCAGCATTCTGTGTCTACAGCTGCTTAACTTCATAAGAGTGCATTTCTTTGTGATTAGGGAATCGAAGAATAGTCAGCTAGGAATAGAGCTACAGAAGTTACACTTAAAATAAACCATCCTGGACTTTAATGTCCCTGGGTAGATTCAGTCGCAAAATCTAATACAATATTTTGTAAAGTTTTCAAGTTGGGCATTTACATTTTGGAGAACTTTTGAGACTTCATCTTACACATACCAATATTAACACGCATTTGGACAATAGCTTTATTAATACTGTAAAGCTATTGAAAGGAACGTGGCTTACTATTGTTATTTCACCAGTGCAGGCTGCAATGAAAGGTATTTTTTGTCCATGAACACTTGGCAAATCTTACTTAGTAAAAAAAAGGGTGTACATTTTACTATAGGAATAATGTATGAACAGTGTGTCACTGCTGTTGGATGTAAAAATGTATATGAAACCATTTCATTCACTTGATTACATTTCTGAAGTATAAATAAAAAAATATAATTCTTTTTGACCCATTTATAACAACTAGGATTTTATTCTTTCGGAGAGAACATTCTTTCCTGCCAGAGCCAAGTCATAAATTTGTGTACACATGCCCCGCAATTTGTTTGGAATGATTTCCTTAGAAATTGGGGATTCATAAACCAGATCGTACGCAAATTTAGTAAATGAAGACGGGGCTGCATGTCAAAACTATTCCATTAAAAACTCTCTTCAGGTTCAAAACTGCCTCCGCACACAAACATCTCATATTTTCATGTTTTTATTCTAATACAATTTGACATCATTTATTCTGAACTTTAAAAAATGCCAAGGGAAGACATGATTGCTTTCCTCTTTTTAACTTCATAATTTTTTTTTTTTTTTTTTTTTTGGCCTTAAAATATCAGTCACACCCATGGCCTCCTGCCATGTTCTGGAGAAATAGACAGGGACAGGGTAAGTATATATTTTTTTGAGTTGGAGTCTCACTCCATCGCCCAGACTGGAGTGCAGTGGCACGCTCCCAGCCAACGCAGCCTCCACCTGGTGGGCTCCGGAGATCCTTCCGCCTCAGTCTTCCAAGTAGCTGGAACTACTGGCGCACGCTACCACGCCTGTCTAATTTTTGATTTATTGTAGAGATGAGGTCTCTCCACGTTGCCCGGGCGGGTCTTGAACCCGCAGGCTCAGGCAATCCACTACCTCGGCCTCCCAAAGCAGTGGGATTACAGGCTGAGCCACCGAGCCTGGCCCATAATTTTGAAGGGAATATTTTTTAGGATATTAGAGATGTGTTTCAGACCCATCATATTAGTGACAAAAATAGGCTAGATTGGGCTCTGCATAAGGAATATTTGCCTTTTTCTTTCACGTGAATATGTTTCTAGATCTGCCATTATCAGAAGGAAAGAAATATGTTGTGCATTTTTTATTTTATGCATAGTTTAATGCTTTCTGTCATCCTAGTGAAAGCGTACCTTGACTTGAGCTTTCCACAGGATTAAAAAAAAAAAATTGTTCTAAAAGAAATGTCTGAACATGATATTAATTTTCTTGAAACTTATAATTCATTTTATTCACTATCAATTAATTGAAGGTAAATAATTACCAACCTGTCCTGTACAGTGTATCTTGTTTAGTTACTAAAAACTGTATAACAAGATGTGAATTCAGTCCTGGCATTTTCTATATGTTAATATAGGAAGAACAATTTAGACATTAGAACTAACAAGAAAGGAGTGAAACTGATTTTACAAATGCTTTGTATTTAAGCCTAAATTCAAACCCACGTCATCCTGTGGTTTAAAACATTGTATTGCCCAGATATAGTGTGTTGAGTCAATGGAGAATTATTACTTTTGAATTTTTAAAAAGTAAAAAGACAAAAAATAATTTAAATTCTAACTAAGCAGACTGGAAATACAGATGGCAAGTCACATTTTAACTATTTCCCTGAATAGAAGTTATGAGAACTAAGCAATCAAATCCTTAATCTTTCAAATCTTTTACAAAATGATATTAAAACAAATCTCAACATTGAAATGCCAATGAAAGAAATAACCTAAGCTACATCTTTTCACTATTTTTCAGTTTTTAACTTGCATAGAAAACCTTTTAAACAGCAGGGCACAAGGCAACTGCAAGAGAACGTATGACTTGAGAAAATAAAGTATAACATCACCCACAATTTGACATACTGTTCCCTTTAGCCGTCCTGTGTTCTGCCACCCTCAACACTGGCTGAAAGAAGCCATGTGACACATGAATATGTAGAAAGATCAAGATCATTAGTAGGAAGAAAAGTTAAGAGTTTATAATCTTCTGGGAAATTTGCACCTTATAGCTGACTCTACTTTATTACCTAAGCCAATATATGCACATACGTACTCACTCTCTCACACACAGGCACACATGCTTCAGAAAGAAAACAAAATAAAAACCATAGGCCCCAGATGTACACTGTTGATTTCAAACTCTTGTGAAGGTTTACTTAAAAGTCTTTGAAATGAATATATGCCAGTCTGTCTCTAAAGTTGAAGCTGATCTTATCCCCTAAATTAATGGATTTTTACTTCCAGAACTCATGTAGAAAATTAAAATATCTACATTACAGTAAATGTCCACCTCCGTCCTTATGAGAGGGGACCCCCCCACCAAAAAACCAAAATTATCTATTGGAGGGTGGTCCCCTTGTAGTACTGGCTTTCCCTGCTAGGAAAGTGTTCTAGGAACTCATCTGTATCAGTGCACCAGCTAGTGTTATTGTGAGAGGCTGCATTCAGCTGCAGTTATTTATTTATTTATTTTTTAAGATTCTTTCAACATGTTTACCCATTTCATGATGAGTGATTTAGTAGTGCACCTGCCCATGTTGCACCGAGTTTTCAGTAGTTTTTGGCCCAAAACAGCTTGACCCACATGCCCACCCTCCATATTCACCTGATCTCGCCTGGAGTGCCTTTTTTTTTGTTTGCTTGTTTCCCTGGATCAAAAAAGTCCTTAAAGGAAAATATTTGGCTGACATGGAAGAAGTGAAACAAAAAACAGCAGAAGCAATAAAAGGCATCAAAATTGATGAGTTAAAAAACTGTTTTGAGTAGTGGAAAAAGTGTCTCAATAAGTGTATTGCATCAAACAAAGAGTACTTTGAAGGTGACTGAAACTTGAACATGTAAAAATAAAAGCACAGTTTTCTATAAATAAATTCGGGCGTTTTTTGCCAACTCCCCCTTGTATTTGAGGATCATGGGGGGTCAAAGGTTTGACAATGAACAGTCACATCCAGAGAGGAGGGTAAACAGAAAGAAGGGAAGGAAAAGAGTTATTAAAGAAAATGTTCCTACTATGACTAGGCATGATATGTATTTTTTTCAACTCTTCAAGTCATGATTATCAAACTGAAGAGGTTATTGATTTGGACCTGGACTAGCTATATGCTTCTCTTATCAGTCATTTGTAGATCACCCTTATGCTCAATAGAAATGTGCTGTTGAACATTATGGAAATCATACAGAACAGCTTGCCTGTTCCCATAGTAAAATCCAGGGTGCTGATAAGAGGCAAACAGCTTGCATTTTCATTGTAGCACTTCACAACAGCAAAATCATGGATACAACCTAAGTTCCTACCAATGACTTATTAGATTAAATAAAATGTGGCATATATACACAGTAGAATACTATGTAGCCATTAAAAAAAGAATGAAATCATGTCCTTTTCAGCACCATGGGTGAAGCTGGAGAACATCATCCTAAGTGAACTCACTCAGAGAAAGAAAACAAAACACTGCATGTTCTCATTTATATTTGGGAGCTAAATGGGCACAAAGATAGAAATTGTAGACACTGGGACATCAAAAAGGGGGAGGTGGGGTGAGGTGTTAGAGTTCAAAATACAATGCTCACTATCTGTGGAATGGGCCACCGGGACCCAATCCCCATCACTACACAAAATGCTCAATTAAAAAACAGATACCCCTCGAATCTAAAATAATGTAAAATTATATATTTAAAAAAGAGACAAAGCCCCTAAGCCATCATTCTCTTCCCTGTGGGAAATGTGACACTGGGAAGAACACTTAACCTGGCCTCACTATTCAACTTTCCTTTATATGTATTGAAATGATACTATAGAAAATTCAACATTTAAAAATTACCAATTCTCTTGGAACAAATGTGTCTGTGTGTAGGGAAAACTTACAAGAAGTCTCAGAGTAAATTTATAAAATTTAAAAATGACATTTCTTCTAATATAAAGTTATGATGATCAGAAATTCACACATCTTCCAGAAGCCATAAAAAGCAAGTTTTTCGGGGGGGGGGGAAGGGGAACAAAGCTAAGGAAAATGTGGATGAGCACCAAGCCGAGTCCTTGACATTGAGCTGTACACCAATATTTAAACGTCTTATTTGGTGTCCTTCAAATAAAGGAGCTCTAGACAGTGAATCCACAAGAAACCAAATCAACAGAGTCTCAATGGGAATCTTTTATCTGGGAATATGACACATTGATGTTGAAAGTCTTACAATAATATCAAAGGCTTTCTAGTGATGCTGTGCATTTATTTGCAGTTTTGACCTCTGATAATAGAGATTAGTTCAAAGTTAATTTTTTAAAAAAGACTGCAAATAACTAAATGAACTTTAAAATCATTTTACAGATTAAGCTGTTTTCCAAGTGACCATGATGAGCTATGCGAGCCTTGTGCGATAATCCAACACATTTGGCTGACTCCAGCCTGAGATTCCTAATTCTCAAGTGTATTCTCCTTTACCTACCACTGGTGAGGGTTTACTTAATACTCATTCTGATGTCTGATCAGTTATTTTTGTCATTTTACAATAGTTATTTCACTTTTTATTTACTTTAGAAAGAGTCTTATAGTAGTCTCCATCACTAAATGGAAATATTAATTCTCTTATTGGGTCTTGGTGACCCATTCCACAGATAGTAAGCATTGTATTCTGAACTCTAGCACCTCACCCCACCTCCCCCTTTTTGATGTCCCAGTGTCTACAATTTCTTTGTACCAAATTAGCTCCCAAATATAAATAAGAACATGCAGTGTTTGGGTTTCTTTTTCTCAGTGAGTTCACTTAGGATGATGTTCTCCAGCTTCACCCATGTTAAAAACTGTTGTTACTGTATAACGAATGCATCTTTGTGTACTTTTGGGCAAATAGTCATTATTATCTTATTTTTTTGGAGAAGGAAATTTTAGCACTATAATTGTTACTTCTGGCATTTAGAAAAAAATTATTAGGTCACTTGAGGAGTATATACCATACAGAACATTTGAGAGATAGTCGACCTTGAGATCAGGTGTCCAAAGAGGCTTTAAAAATTTTAAATGACATATTAGGGTATTTTTTTTAAATCTAATAAAAATAAGGGGGAAAAGCTTTTTTATTTCATGCCAACGAACTTAGAAGTTATGGCTTGAACAAAAGAATTCATTTTCTATAACTCAGATATTGCATAAGCAATGAAATTGAAGCCCCTTGGGAAGATAATAGCAACTTTTTGTTT